TCAGGCTCTATTGCAGGGGTACTCAAACTTTTTTATTAAAGGTCCAGTTGCGAACTTTATACAAGGTCACTGGTCCGGATCAATGCCAGTAAAGTCCCCCCCCCGTAAAAGTAGAAGTACCAGAGTGTAGGAATACTCTATTACAGTTTAAGTCCTGCATTCAAAATGTTCCTCAAGTAAAAGTAGAAAAGTATTCTCATCAAATATAGTGAAAGTAGCGACAGTAAAAGTAGTGATTGTGCAGATTGGTCCATTTCAGAATAATATATATGATATGTTTTATAATGATTGATCATTAAAGTGTTCTCAAAGCTGGTAAAGGTGCAGCTAGTTTGAATGACTTTGTATACTGCAGGGTAGCTTGTGAATTTACTCCAGGTGGAACTTAAGTCTGATTTAACACTTGATTATATTTCACATCATTCATCCAGATCTGTAAAGTAACTAAAGGTATTAAATACATGTAGTGGAGTAAAAGTACACCATTTACCTCTGAACTGTGGTGGGGTAGAAGTACAAAGTAGCAAAACATTGAAATACTTAAGTAAAGTAAAAGTATCTCAAAATTGTACCCAAGTATAGTACTTGAGTTTATGAACTTAGTTACTTTACACCACTGGCTATAAAGATAGAAAGACTAAGCCTTGCACAGAGGCATGAAAATAAATTTTCAAAATGCTCAACAGTGCTGCCAAAATTATAAACTGACTGCTACACAATTAAAATAAATGCTTTTATAAATGTCTATTAGATGTGACTCTTTGGCGTTTCTGTTATTATTAACTGCTTTAGTTGTTCTGACTGCTAAAATCCTCTGTTATTCCGTGGGGTCGGGGGGCTCGGATCCTTGTCACCTTTTTCATACCTGATGAGTTTGCATCCCTGAAATTAAAGGGTGTTACATGTTGTCGTTGCTGTGGACCTTCTTAATCTACCTTCTTTGGGGGCCCCCTTCTGGTCCAAGCACTTGCCTGCCTTGCCTGTCGGTAAACGGCGCCCCTGTATACACACACACACATTCAATACATACATACAGTATGTCAAGGTAAACTTGCGGTTAACTTGCGGTCTGCTATGCGTGTCACGCTCGCGCACACAAGTAAATATATATGCACGTTCATTCTCACAACATGTCAGACACAAGACGCACGTACATGATGATATACATTAATTTATCAGAATCGGATTTTTTTTATTATTTTTTTTTTAGAATGGGACACAGGGTTCGGTCCGGATTGATTTGCAGTTCGATCCGGATCCGGACCTTGGTCCGGAGTTTGAGAAGCCCTGCTCTATTGAATCCCCCTCTGGTTCTTGTGCTGAAAGAGGGAGAAACAGACAGGAGAAAGGGTAATACACACCTATATAGCACACCTATTGGATGGGAAATTGCCTTGGGGAGATAAGGTGTGGTCTTTGTTTCCAACTGAAGTTATGGAACTTTATTATTTGTGAGTTTAACAAAGTATGACAAATGGCATCAGCAATGGATGTGATATTAATTTGAATCTGCTCCTCCACCTGTAACATCATTGCCCCTCCACCTGCCAGCACCCAGCCAACATCCCTGCTCCTCCACCTGTAACATCCCTGCTCCTCCACCTGTAACATCCCTGCTCCTCCACCTGTAACATCACTGCCCCTCCACCTGCCAGCACCCAGCCAACATCCCTGCTCCTCCACCTGTAACATCACTGCCCCTCCACCTGCCAGCACCCAGCCAACATCCCTGCTCCTCCACCTGTAACATCACTGCCCCTCCACCTGTAACATCACTGCCCCTCCACCTGCCAGCACCCAGCCAACATCCCTGCTCCTCCACCTGTAAACAATCACTGCCCCTCCACCTGCCAGCCCCCAGCCAACATCCCTGCTCCTCCACCTGTAACATCACTGCCCCCTCCACCTGTAACATCACTGCCCCTCCACCTGCCAGCACCCAGCCAACATCCCTGCTCCTCCACCTGTAACATCCCTGCTCCTCCACCTGTAACATCACTGCCCCTCCACCTGCCAGCACCCAGCCAACATCCATGCTCCTCCACCTGTAACATCACTGCCCCTCCACCTGCCATACAGTAGGTTACTAATATACACTAACAAGATTACTTACATTACTTACATGTTTAGTATGCTTACTTATATACAACAGTAGTATTACATTTACCTTGTGTTTTCACTCTCACTTTGGTCCCTCTCCCTTTGCCATCATTTCAAAATCAGCTGAGCTGCAACATAATACAGACAGGTAATAATCAACAGAATACACTAAAAACACTCACCCATAAATTACGTTTTTGTTTACTGTTTGGAAGTCTCAAATATGCACTCTAAATTAATATCAATAGCGATGTATCACACAAATAGCTCTCTTCCTTATTATTGTGTAACGTTAACTTTATTATACTAGCTTGTAGGCCTACTCCAAAATGGAGATCGTAATTTCTCCACCTCCACTCATTACAATCACACGTGCTAATATTATATTCCTCCACCCCACAAAAAAATCACGTTTAGAAGCCCTTTTTCTCTAATTCCACAACGTTGGATGAAATAACATTAGGAGAACGGATTAATAGGCTGTTCATGGTTAACGTGTGTTGCTAACTTTATCCGGTATCCTAGCCTAATCTGTTATCTGTAAACGTTCCCTAAATCAGTAGATTATGGGATAATCCACTAACAGCCTTTAATACACATGTTAATTTGACTCAGAAGTGCTGATAATATCCGCAATATAAATCTTTAAACGTCTTCTTACCTTTAAAAGTCCATCACGAATGCTGCAACTCTACTGCGCTGCTAGCCACAGATCGTGGAGCCTCTTGAGTCAATAGTCCCCCGGAAGTCAGCGGCAAACTAACTTCCGGGGAACTATTGACGGCTCCACGATCCGCCATTGCTGTAAAAAAACTGGTCCATTGGAGTGAACGGAGATGTCGTAACTCTTCTATTATATGGCTCTGGATATACTCATAGAACTTAACCATAGCTTGTTAAGACTTCACAGAGGCGGTATAGATCTTCAGTTCTGCTGGGTGCCTGCACATGAGGGGGTAAAAGGGAACGAGTGTGCTGATAAATTAGCAAAAAGTGCATTACAAAAGGAAATACAATTACCAGTTCAACTTGGAAAAGGAGAAGGAAAAGCAGTAACCCTTAGATGCATAAGTGGGTCTTTTTTGACCCGGTGAGGTGGTTTTCTTATGGCGCATTTCCATTGCAGCGCGTAGCTCGCTTTAAGCGTGCCGTGTCGTGCCGTCCCCTTTTTTGGTTGTGCTTCCACTAGGCCTCGTTCCGGCGCGGCACGGCACGGGGCCACTTTTTCCCCTCTTTTCTGGCCCTAGAAAATTGTGGTTCTATCGGGGCCAACAAACAGGGCTGAGTCGGGCTGAGTATGCTAAACTAGAGAGAGGAGCGCAGGCAAGAGGGCTAGAACTACAACAAGATGGACATATTTGACCGTGATTTAATTGTAATACACGTTTCAAAATGATGCCGAAGTAACAACATACTGATACCGGTTAGTAAAAACCATGAATTAATGCTTTGTCAAGTCTGCAGACAGACGGCAGGCGAAAAACCTTTTAAAATTCGTGTTTTTCTAGATGGAGATTGGCTAAGCTAACGCAGTATATGCTCCGACCGTCCACACTCACAACAACGGCCTATACAGACATAAATAAACCAGCGACTGTATTCACCATGACACAGGCAGTCTGTGGTTTGTACTTGTTTAACTTTTGTCTAGTTTCTGAACAGATATGAGGAGCTGTGAGCTCTGAGTGCTCACAGCTAACGGCTGTGTTGTGTTTCTGGATTTCTCATTGAAGATGACGTCACGGCTCCGCCTACACTGCGTTACTATAGTAACTACCCCAGTTCCTAAACTGTAATGGAAGCGCAGCATGAAGTGAGTCGGCCCTGTTAAGGCCCAACGCGGCCAAGCCGTACCGAGCCGTACCGAGTGTGGCCGAGGCCGACCGTGTAGTGGAAATGCGCCATTAGAGTATCTTTGTAATTACATTTTTTTATCATTTCATATTCCAGCTATTCCTCCAAAAACATGTTTTGGCATGCCATTCAAATTTTTTATTTACATTTTAAGAAATTGTAGTTTTTGTATTACTACCCTAAGCTTCCATAAGTGGGTCAAAAATGACCCGCATGCATTTTCTATGGAATTACGTTTTCTTTTCAAAATGTAAAAATGTCTAAAATTGTAAATAGTGAAAAATTAAATATAAAATATTTCTAGTGTGAACCAAAATATAATACTAAATATTATACAAGTGATTTTTCTTAACCAAAATGACAAAAATGGCATAAAAACACATATTATTCTAATACGGGTCCTTTTTGACCCACTTATGGAAGAGTGTAGGGTCCAGTCACTCGTGCATCTAAGGGAAAAAACTAAAAGGGATGGAGATCTGGGAGAAAGACCAGAAAGGCAAAGAGTATCACAAAGTACAAAAGACAATCACAATTAATATTTATAAAGAAAGAAACAGAAGGGAGGAAATCATGATAACTAGACTCAGACTGGATCACAGAGCATTGAATGGTACGCTGTATGTCATGGGGAAAAGTGACAGTGACAAGTGTAGGAACTGTGGAGTTAAAGAAAATGTGGAACATCTTATTACATTGTGACAGCTATAAAGCTGAAAGAGAAAAACTAAAGGATAAAGTTATAGAGGCAGAGAGGGAGTACAATGTGCATTCTGGGAACAGAAGGAGAAGGAGTAAGAGCTACCAGAAAGGCACTGTTTACCTTTCTGAGTGAAACTGGGGTAGGTCAAATAATCTAACATTAGGTTAGAATAGATAATGGATTTTTGTTTTGTTTTATTTATTTTATGTTTTGTTTAGATTATGGATATATACGTCCATGAGTTGAGTGATGGAATGACATGATGATACACACTCATGTACAGTAGGTGGCGGTGTGCGACTAAAAGCTGTTTGCGACCCGCCAAGAGAGAAGAAGAAGAAGAAGAAGAAGAAACGGAGTTACAACCCTATTGTAAGCAGTGTATGATTGAAAGTATGTCTAAAGTAGACATGTTGAGAGAGGTGGTGAGTGAGCGTCTCACTGCGGCGGCTTTAGAGATATTCGGACTGTTTGAGAGAACCGTGGCGGAATATGAAGAACAACTATGTCGTTCTAAAGAGGAGAACGAGCGGCATCGGAAACTTCTGGACGCTGTTCTGAAGCCGGAAGTCCGTTTACACAGAGCAGGTCAGAAACTAAACTTCGTAAACATTACATTACATTACATTGCATTTAGCTGACGCTTTTATCCAAAGCGACTTATTTGTAAACTACTGTTTGTTCTATTCCTGTGTTATTACCCTGCTGAAAAAAACAGCTTAGACCAGCTAAGTTGACCAGCCTGACCAGCCAGTAAATGGGTTGGCTGCTTCCACTACAGCGCGGAGCACGGTTTAAGAGGGCTGTGACGTCAGCGGCCCGTCTTTGGTTGCGTTTCCACTTGGCCTAGTACCGGCCGGCGGGTCCTAATTCACAGTTTTTCTGGCCTCATAAAATCGCGGGTCTAGGGCCAGAGACAACGAGGCTGAGTCGGGCTGAGTATGCTAAACTAGAGAGAGCATCGCTGGCAAGGGGGATACAACTACAACAAGATGGACATATTTGACCGTGATTTAATTGTAATACACGTTTCAAAATGATGCCGAAGTAACAACATACTGATACCGGTTAGTAAAAACCATGAATTAATGCTTTGTCAAGTCTGCAGACAGACGGCAGGCGAAAAACCTTTTAAAATGCGTGTTTTTCTAAATGGAGATTGGCTAAGCTAACGCAGTATATGCTCCGACCGTCCACACTCGCAACAACGGCCTATACAGACATAAATAAAGCAGCGACTGTATTCACCATGACACAGACAGTCTGTGGTTTGTACTTGTTTAACTTTTGTCTAGTTTCTGAACATATATGAGGAGCTGTGAGCTCTGAGTGCTAACAGCTAACGGCTGTGTTGTTTTTCCTGTGGTTCTCTGAAGATCACGTCACGGCTCCGCCTACACTGCGTTACTATAGATACTACCCCAGTTCCTAAACTGTAATGGAAATGCGCCATAAAGTGAGCCAGTCCTAACGAGGCCCAGCCATACCGAGCGGGGCCGAGCGAGGCCGTGTAGTGGAAACGCGCCAGGGGTTTTGGACACTTTAGCTGGCCAGGATGGCTGGTTTAGCTGGTGCCAGCTAAACCAGCTAAACCAGCTAAACCAGCCATCATGGCCAGCTAAAAAAACAGCATGGCTGGTCACCAGCATCCATCTATCACTAGTTTATGTTTAATAATAGTATTAAATATATCATGCTGGAAGCTTACCAGGATTCCAGGTGACCAGCATACATTGTTTAAATACTGGTATGATTATTTAAACCAGAGAACATACATATATTACAAAGATTCATTGTGTCATGCATTCTGGTATCTACCAAAATAAAGACATTGTATAGTGTTCATAACAGTATTTTAATTTCATAGCAATAAATAGCTAGTTAATATAATAAAATACACAGTAACAATACAATAATTATACAAATAACAATCAACCTGCAAATCAACCTATACATCAAAATAAATATATTATCTAAAACAGGTGCATTTGATTTAAAATAAAAGTAATAAATAGAATTCAATATTTAAATGGTAACAAAAACAGTAACACTATGTATGATAAGAAAAAGGCAACAAAGAAAGTGTTTTTTGTTTTTCCTTGTTCATATCCATAATGTTTCCCGTTGTGTAGCGTCCAGCCTTTCCCAATCTGGCATTTCTGTCTGTTGAAGCCACTTCTTGAAGCAAACTGAAAAGAAATGTACAGATATAAGTACACTGTAAAAAGAAAACTTGACATTTACGTTAACATTTGGGCTGCTGTGGTTGCCAGAACTTGACCTTTGAAGTATGGTAAAATACATTACAAATTACAGTTGGTTGGCATAGACGTTACAGCAAGGGTACTCAAATACAAATCTTAAAGGTCCAAAAAAATTGTTTCAATAAGACAAAGGTCCGTTTATTACGGTCATTCAAACTTTTAAACAATTGCAACAAGATTCTTAACACGAGGTTGCACAAACAAAAATAATCTGTATGCAACAGTTTTCATTGTTATTGTGTCTGTGCTTGATCCCTCAGTCGCAGTGTGAGCTGCACAGTTATGAATAAAGGCAGCTGCACCCTCTTTCATTCAGCATTCCCATTATTGCTTTATAAATGTCTTGCCCCCTTGTGTGTCCACTGAGGTTCGTCAGGCCCAACACATCTTCAACAAACTCCCCCTTTGCCTCATCATAAAAACTCACAAACACCAGCAACAGAGCATTGTCAGTGGTGTCAGTGGACTCATCCACAGCTAAGGAAATGCACTGTGCATTTTTTATTCCATCACAAAGCTGATTAATCAAATCACCAGCCAGTATTTATGTTCTTCTGGTTGCTGTGGAATCTGAGAGGGGGATTTGCTTGATTTGACCTGTTATTTCCTCTTTGTTTGCCTTCAAACATGGTCTCCATCACTTCAGTCATGCATTCTTTTATACTTCAGTTATTATCCAGTGTAATGTCCTTACCTACTGGCCTAGTTAAATCAAAGTGGTTACTTTTTTTTGGCTGGGCAGTGTAGTTTTACACACGTCTTATTTGACTTTCTCAGGACTTAAAACTGTTTTTTGGGGGCAGACCCCCACAAAGAAAAATATATATTTACTAGGGCTGTCAGTCGATTAAAATATTTAATCGCGATTAATCGCAAATTTTTTATCTGTTCTAAATGTACCTTAGAGGGATATTTTTCAAGTTTTTAATACTCTTATCAACATATGAGTGGACAACTATGCTTTATATGTTTGTTTATTATCATTTGAACAATGACAAATATTCTCATGAATATTAAACACAACAACCTCTGAACATTACAAATATTCGCCTCAATTCAACCTAGAACCTCTCTCATACAATACTGTGTGTGTGTGTGTGTGAATGTGGAGGATCGTTGGAGCTATGTGCAGCTCAAGGCATATATGCCTGTGTGTATGAGCTGTGTTGCGGCACTATCCGTGCTGAGTGTGCGGTCTGGCTACCTGCATAAAGTCAAGTGCTCGGCGCAGTTGTCGGCGAAATGTCGCTCCTCTGTTTTCATTGAAACAGCTCCTTATATCCGTTAGCTCAGCTAGCTAGCACCAGATGCTAACAACAACACGTAAGGTGTGCTTCGCTCGCGCCACACATACACACACCCTCCCGGTCCTCCCGATGGCCAGTCCGGGCCTGCCGGTGAGCGTGGAAGTGTGGTCTGCCACAAGCGGGCAGCAGGAGCGGGGCTGTCAGCATCAGCTTGTAGATGGTATTTTAAACTCGATGCGCTCTGAAACTACGGCGGCCGAGGACAAAAAAATACACATGCGTTAATCGCGTTAAAATAATTAGTGGCGTTAATTTTTTTTTGCGTTAACGCGTTATTAACGCGTTATTAACGCGTTAACTTGACAGCCCTAATATTTACACACGTAAGGTCATCATCTTAACAGTGTTGTATGCTCATCCGTGAGCAGAGCATCAAGTTGACATGCCTATTACAGCTGAATGCGGCGATTACCATTTTGTTCAGCAAAACGCCTCACAAACTTATTAAGATCAATAGCTTTAGTGCGTTTTGATTCAATGCTGAGTACAGCCAAACTTGACAGTCTCTTCTCTGTCATTGTAGACCGCAAATACCTCATTCCTTCAGTACTTGGGTCCGAATGCTTCTCGTTTTGCGCCGTACGGTTCAAATGAAATCAGGGCCGGGGGAGGGGTTACAAGACGTGCATCTTGTGCTGCATTCACTTGCACTCTGACATTAGAGACTTTCTCTCTCATATGTCCGATGAGCCTCAACTTTTCTTTCAAACAAAGCTGCCAACTGGGGTGGCAAGGCCTATTTTTAGTGTGGCAGTTGCCACCCCGGTAGGTGAAACTAGGCTACTAGCTACAGTACAGATGCAACTAGATGAGCTGTTAACTCTCGCTCTTTTTTTTAAACACACACGCATTTTCCCCACCCGCATTCCGCGAAGACCCGCCCTACTGTGCCTCTGATTCGCAGACTGTTGGTGGGGGGAAAAAACGCTGACGGGATGCTGAATGTGATTGGACCAAAGCGTTGACAGACACACACACTCACACAGACAGTGGAACAGTCTGACATGCAGAGCGCTGTTTGCAGTGGACATAGCGGAGAATTTTGACTCGTTGTGTTGTGGCGATGTCTCGCAGATAACACAGATAATACAGATAATACATATGAAAAGTATAATTTGCTCAGAGTCCAGAGACAGTTGTGGTTCGGTCCGGATCCGGACCGGAGTCCGGACTTTGAGGATGCCTGCGTTACAGTCAACAATTGCTTATGGTGAATTACAATGCAGGGCTCGACATTATAAATGTCCCGCTGTCCCGGAAGCACTATTTAGACACACCGGGCCAGCATAACGTACTTTCCACTTGCCCGCTCGGGCCACTAAAAATATTGCTTTAAAAAAAAAAAAAATTGTCCTGAGGTATTGGAATTTTGACTAGCAATTTTGTTCAATTGTTTCGTTTATTTAGGTGAGAATCACATGACACGACAGGTGAACATGGCGCACTAGGTGGCTGCTTCTCATCAGACCGAATTTGCTAAAAATAATCGGCTAAAACAGTCTTTTCCTGATATTGACTTTTTGATCTCTGCTGCTTGAAGTTGGTTATAAGCGAATGCCTAAAAAGCATCAAACTAGGCAGACAGCGAAGTCGCCAAGGAATAAACACCACGAGGACGCTCGCACAATGGAACCAGCTGAGGAAAACACAGAGGTAACACCGCGCTGGGCCCAGCAGCTGTGCGCAGAGATTCAAGATATCAAAAAGGGATTTGAGAATACATTTGATACTCTCCAAAAGACTATACAAACAATGAATAAAGACACGAAAGCAGCACTCAACAGGATATCTAACGCTGAAAAACGGATAAGTACGCTAGAAGATCAAGCCAGCACCGACGGTGCGACAGTTAAACAATTATCCAAAGATGTGAAACTTTTACGCGAACGGGTTATCGACCTCGAGAGCAGAGGAAGAAGGAATAATATCAGAATCAGTGGGCTGAAGGAAGGCGCTGAAGCAGGGGACCAGGGGCCTCATTTATAAAGGGATATACGCTCAAAAAATGGCGTACGCC